CTCTCTCTCTCTCACACACACACACTCTCTCTCTCTCTCACACACACACACTCTCTCTCTCTCTCACACACACACACTCTCTCTCTCTCACACACTCACACACACTCTCACACTCACACCGACGTCAGACAGCAAACACAGCATCTAGATCCAAAACATCAAATTAACGAGCAAACTCCCAGTGCGACGCAGCTTCAGTCAAACATCTGGAGCGGGATTCGCTTTCACTGACACCGATATATTCTACAGCATCTCCACATCATCTCTGTCATTAGAGTTAACTAAAACTACAACTGAAAATATAAAAAAAACAATAAAATAAACGTAAACTGAAAACATAGAAAACTTAAACTTTTTTTATTTCAACTTTCAACATTTATCATTTCAATTTAGTTTAAGTTTATACTAAAATAACAAACTAAAAATGAAAATTAATAAAAAATATATAGAATTTAAAAAATGACAATTACTAAAACTAACTAAATTTAAAATGGAAAATAGTACAATAAAAACTGAATAAAAATATGAATAAAAAGTTTTATTTTGCATTCACTTGTATAAGGTTTGCAATTTTTTTATAAAATGTCTAAATACATTTTAAAAGCCTGATATGTGTTTTCATTATTTTACATCAATACACCGAAAACATAAATAAATGTAAAAATAAACATATGCATTTAATAATTATATATATATATATATATATATATATATATATATTGTTCTACTTTATTAAAGGAAAAAACATGTAGTGAGAGTCTCAGGCAGACAGACAGCTAAATATTCAGATTTATTTTTGGTCATTAATATTTTGGAATTTTATGGATACATTTTAAAAGCCTGATTATTAATATTTTACAGCAATACACAGAAAGCTTTTCAAAATAAACTTAAAAAACAAATAGTAAAAATATAAAATGTAAAAATAAATGCATTGAAATAAAATAAAGTCTTGTTCTTTTTTTGTTAAGAAGAAAATCATGTAGTAACAGTTGCATGCAAAATATCAAGAAATATCAAAAATGCATGCACTTTTTTGGTCATTCAAATAAATTAATAATTTGCTATATTTTATATTTATACAATGATCTGAATGTCAATTCAGCAGATGATGTTGGATGATTTAAATCATTGGATGCAGTCTTTATACTCTAGTTTAACTAAACCAACAGGCGATTTGTGTCCAGTTTGTAGCCTCTTTATGTATAGATTCGTACAGTAGATGCTCAAATGTCCAGCATCTGGATTCTGCAGCAGGAGCTGACGAGTCTCAGTTACTGCAGCCTGAGGAAACGACTGCAGAAGAGCTGACAGGAGCTAAAGAGACATGAAGAAGCATACACTCACACGAGCGAGAGATACGGCAGGGCGATCAAGGAGAGAAGATCCATCTTCAATCATTCTTTCATTCTTCTCTTTCATCTCTGCAGCCGCTCATTCTTTTGTTCCGTTTCTGATCATTTCAAGATGTTTGCACTGCAGCACTTCCCATTTTACTGTCTATTCTATTCCATTGGATAAAAGCATCTGCTAAATGACTAAATAAATTTATTTACACATTAACATTGTTGATTTATATTACTGCAGTCACCAAAACACACACATATACATATATATATATATATATATATATATATATATATATATATATATATAT